CGACAAAAAGGGTGGAAAGAAGAAGAACCACCCCCCATCCCCCAAAAAAACCCCCCACCTGTCCCCCCCGGCGGGGGTCCCAGCCCGCCACGATGATGCCGGCGCTGAGCTCCTCGCGGTAGCGGTAGCAGCTCTGCTGGAAGAGGCGGGCGGCCGTTCGCACCCGCGGCGGCTCCTCCAGCTCCACACTGAGAAAAAAACCCCAAAAAAATCTCCTTGAAATGTTGAAAAGGTTCATAAAATACTTTTCTTGTACCCCCCTCCCTGTGTGAGTTATAATAATTTACCAAAAGCTGTGTTTAATTTACTGTGAGCTACGTTTCGTCCCGTGCTGGGCGTCGTCAGACCTTAAAGGAACCCCAAAAAACAAGAACCCCCAACGCCCATAAATCTTGAAGGAAGAAGGGTTTAACTGAAGCATCTCGCTGCAGGGGCCCACTGTTCTCCCCTCCCCCCATTTCTCTACCTTGCTCAAAGGAGATCTTGTTCTGTACAAATTCTGCAGACCCAAAATATTTACAGATACATCGAACAAAGAACCCCAGCGCCCATAAATCTCATCCAGAGGAGCCAAGGTGACATCTCAACAGGTGTTACAGGCCCCAAGCCAAGACTTTCTTGAAGCCTCAGCGATCAGAACACAGAAACAATAGAAAGAATGAAAGGTCCCCGAGGTGAGGTGAGGATGAGGATTAAACAATCAACCCCCAGGATGAAGGCAAACAGGAACTCCCACCAAAATATTCCTCAAAATGGAAACCACGCCCCAATCTCCGCCCCTAACTCCGCCTGTCATGAATATTGTAATCTACGTTGTAATCATTGCCAAACCTGTATAAAATACTCACTCTGACCCAACCAACTCGGAGCCTGTTTTTCCCAGCACTGGCTGGCCGTTAATCAATAAATACCTCGCTGTTCTAGGCATAAAACTTTGTCTAAACAGTTTTTATCTGCTTTTTTTTTTTGGGCATCAGTCTCAACCCCAGAGGAGCCCCAAGGTGACGCCTCAAGGGGTAAAACAAACCCAAAGCCAAAGGGGTTTCTTTAAGGCCAGAGAGATCAGAACACGAAGAATAAAAGTACAAAAGGTCCCCCGAGGCGAAACGAGGATGAAAATTGGAAAAGCAAAGACGAAGGCGAACGGGAACTTCCCCACTGAAGCTGAATTTTTGCCCCCCAAAAAAAGCACAGAGAGAGAGAGAGGGGCTGCTTTAGGGATAAAAGATTTGTTTTCCTTAAAGCAGGGAGGTATTTTAATGCGGGAGAGTTCCCGGGTCGCCCTGGCCGAAGAGCTCTTGTCGTGTACAATCAGCACGGCTCTTTATAATTATAGAGTCTTGAACATAAAATTACATCATAAACCATGCATATTCATTAAATTACAACATGTAATATTCATATATTCAATTTGGGGGAGGTTTAGAGGTGGGGGGGGAGTTCCCGCAGCCTTCATCGCGGGCAGGGGTCGGTCGCTCTTCTTCCTCGTGGTAAACTTTGGAACTTTTCCCTCAAATCTATCCCTAATTTGGGTAGTGGGTGGGGTCAGGTTGACTTTTGGCTCGTCCTAAGACTGATTGATGCTGCTATCTCTTCGTTTTACGCTTTAAACGTTCTATCTCGTTCCTCAGACAATTTATTACTTCTGTGGTTCCCTAATTGCGAGGGGTTTTGGAATTACTTCCCCCATTTTGGGTTTGAGTTAACCTCTTGTTTCTCAAAGGCTGCCTCGACTGAGGGGGCTTTCACCGCCGAAATATTCCTCAAAATGGAGGCCACGCCTCCCTCTCCGCCCCTGACTCCGCCTGTTATGAATATTGTAATCTAATTATGCAATAATATGAATATGGATGTGGTTATGATGTAATAATGTGAATATGGATGTGGTTATGATGTAATCATATGAATACGTGGTTATGATGTAATAATACAAATATGTATGTGGTTATGATGTAATAATATGAATATGGATGTGGTTGTGATGTAATAATACAAATATGTATGTAGTTATGATAAATATGGATGTGGTTATGATGTAATAATATGAATATGGATGTGGTTATGATGTAATAATGTGAATATGGATGTGGTTATGATGCAATAATATGAATATGGATGTGGTTATGATGTAATCATATGAATATATATGTGGTTATGATGTAATAATATGAATATAGATGTGGTTATGATGAATATGGATGTGGTTATGATGTGATCATATGAATATGGATGTGGTTGTGATGTAATAATATGAATATGGATGTGGTTATGATGAATATGGATGTGGTTATGATGTAATCATCGCCAAACCCGTATAAAAACACCCACTCTAACCCAACCAGCTCAAGGGGCTGTTTTCCCACGTCCATCAATAAATACCTCTCGTCTAAAAACGTTTTCATCTGTCTTTTTTTGAGGGGGGTGGGTGGGGGTGGGTTTACCTGTGGAAGGCCAGCTGGTAGGCCACAGCGTCGGCCACGGCCTGCGTGTCGGCGGCCGAGCCCGAGCGGCAGCAGAAGATGCGCTCGTGGACCGGCGTCAGCTTGTCCGTCACGCGGTTGGCCACGTAGGACCTGGGGTGGGGTTGAGGGGGTCAGAACGATCCCACGGGGGGTCTGGAAGGGGGTCAGGACACCCTCCCACGGAAGGCACCCCCGAAAAACGCTGCTGGGAGTTTCCCAACCCCCCCATCCCACCCCACCCCACCCCGTTTCGAGGCCCCGAAGAGTTGGAGGCGAAAAACGCTCTGAAGGTTTCGCCAAAATAAAAATAAAGGGTTAAAAATAAAAAAAAAAAACCGTGCTGATAAGGTGGTTTTTAGCACTGCTGGTGGTGGGGTGGGGAGGAATTTTTGGGATTTGCAAAGTCCCACCCACCCTCGAAAGGAGGGGAAAAGGATTCGGCCGAAAATAGAGAGGGGGAAAAGTAAAAAAAATTAAGGGTGAGCCCAAAAAAGGGGGGAGAAAAAAAAAGGAGCTCTGAAGGTTTTGCCAAAAAAGAGGAGGGTTAAAAATAAAGAAAACGTGCTGATAAGATGCTAATAAAGAGGAGGAGAAGGAGGTGGAGGAGAAGGAGGAGGAGGTGGAGGAGGAGGAAGAAGAGGAGGAGGAGGAGGAGGAGGAGGAAGAGGAGGAGGAGGAGGAGGAGGAGGAGGAGGAGGAGGAGGAGGTGGAGGAGGAGGAAGAGGAGGAAGAGGAAGAGGAGGAAGACGAGGAAGAGGAGGAAATCCTTCAGAACTGGGGGATTTAAACACGGGATTTAAAATCCGATTTTTTTTTCCCCCCCAAAAAATTAGGCAAACAGTTCCTTGGGATCTTTCAACCTGACGGGGGGAGGTGTTTGGGGTTTTTTGTTGGTTTTTTTTTCAGGAATTGCGGCCAAAAAAACCCCAAAGGATTTTTTTTGGAGGAACTTTGGGGCTCCCCTCGGGGGTTTTGGGGGTGGCACCGTGGTGACATCGCGGTGACGTCATAACAAGGCGACAGCCCCTTTGACAGGGCCCTGCCCCCCCCATGTGACGTCGCTGATGACGTCATCAATGACGTCATCGACGACGTCATATAGCCCCTCACCCGGTGGTGGTTCGGGAGTCGGCCCCGATGACGACGCCCCCATCGAACTCCACGGCCATGATGGTGGTCTGGGGGGGGGGGGGGGGGGGGAAAAGGGGGCTGGGGCTGCGCTGGGGGTCCCTGGGTCACAGCAGCCCCCTCCCCACAGAATCCCCTGTCCTACAGGTCCCCCTCCCCACAGAATCCCCCCTCCCCACAGCAGCCCCCTCCCCACAGACCCCCCTGCCCCATAGAACCCCCTCTCCCCACAGCAGCCCCCTCCCCACAGACCCCCCTGCCCCATAGAACCCCCATCCCACAGCAGCCCCTTCCCCACA